CTGGTGCCGGAGCTCAGTTTCCACAAGGTCTTGATGGATCGGCTGCTCTTGTTCATTACTGAAAATCTGGACTACAAGAGGGTGGTTTGTTTCTTGGCCACGGGCAAATGTACGTCTTCTCCCTTTCCGGCCACATTCTTGGAGCAGGCAAGGGCACTAGTCTTCAAGACGATTCGTGAACGGGGCTCTATCGCTCCTCTGGAATCAGTGCCGGAGAGACAGCCCTTTTTCTTGCATGCAATCTCCGAGATGTTGAAATTTGCTGGGGATCCTGACTGGAGGCAATATACCGAGGCTACGCATTCCTTTGCAAATGGTGTTCCGCTCGGAGTGGACTTCCGTATGCCCCGGAACCCCGCTCTCTTTGAACGTAAGCGTCGCCATCGGGACTTTACTGGTCTGGGTGCACATGAATGCGAGGAGGTCCGGGACAATTATAAATCTGTGGAAGGCTACGAGGCCAAGGTTGAGCAACAGTTTGAGAAGGAAATTGCCATGGGTGCTATGGTGAAGATGAGCTTGAGCGAGGCACGTGATCGGTTCGGTGATCAACTGAACGTGGCTTCGTTGGGCTGCATCCCCAAAGGGGATGATTCCGTGCGGGTGGTGCACGATGCCACTCACGGCCAACACGTCAATGATTCTATTCGTGTCAGGGACGGCCAGTCTTATCCCTCGGGAGCGGACCTCGAGGAAGCCCTACATTCTCTGCCATTCGCCACCTTCGCCGTGGAGAGGCGGAGGTAGGCATCATGCAGTGCAGGCCAGCATTAAGCTCCATCAACACTTTTCTCCAAAAGCGCTCCTAAACCTGTCAGCTTCAGCCGCATGGCGATTCGCGAAGCCTTGCGCCAGCCTCAATCCTCTTTGTGCCGACAGCTTACACAAGAAGTCAGCCGGCGTCTGCAGGAGACTTCGGAGCCTACGGCTGAGATGCTGAATCAACTGCTGCATGACTCGTGTTGTGCCTTGTTTCCTGTGCAGCGCACTGCTAACGACCTTAAGCCGTGGCAGCAACCTGACTCCCACCATGACGTCAAAGCGCTGTGGCGCCATCACAGTGCGCTGCAGGCAATTCGGCGCGAGCGCATAGCTGTAGGCGTGCGCTCCAGGCTCACGCAAGCCTTCCGGATCCTTAGAGCACATGCCAGACTGCAGGCCTGCCAGGCCTGCCAGAAGGTGTTGTGTAAGCGTGGCCGTGAGCGTCGCAAGCAGCTGCTTTTGACTTCATTGCATAGGGCTGAGGCTGCAGCTGCTGTCGGGGACATGTATAAGCTGTTTCAGGAGATTCGCCGACTTGCCCCGAAATCCCCCAAAGAACGCATCCAAATTCGCAGTCCCGACGGCCGCATCCTTAGTGAGCACGATGAGCTTCAGGAGATTTTGAAGTACTTCAAAGGTGTCTTTTGTCGGGACGCACATGTAGCTCCCTCCGACCTTCAGTTGACCCAGCAGTTTGCGATCAGTGACGTTGAAATTCAGAACAGCATCAGCAAACTTGCCACGGGAAAGGCTGTTCCAACTGGAGCTGTGCCGCCGGAGGTATGGAAGGTTTGCATGCCGGAGCTTCTACCCCACATACAACGACTATTTGCGCAACAACTACAGGGCAGACTGAATCTGCCGTCCACATGGAAGGATTGCCATTTGTTTCTGCTCCCTAAACCCGCTAAACCCACGAAAATTCCATCCAGCCTCAGACCTATTGCTCTGCAATGCCCACTGGGTAAGTGTCTTGCACGTGTAATACAGAGACGGCTTCTTGAGCGCATATTACCTGCACTCGACAACACAGCACAGTTTGCATACCTTCCAGGTCGGAGCACGCATACGGCGCTGTCTTTGATCGCGAGTCACTGTCAGCATGTTCGCTCACACTTGATCAACTCCCGGATTGAGGTCAGAGATCGCAAACTTGGCAAAACTGCCAGCATCATGGGTGCTGCAATGCTGTCAGTTGATCTGAGTCTGGCTTTCGACCAGGTCAGCCACCAGTACTTGCGAGCAGCACTCGAATTCTTGAGCGTTGACCAAAACATGATCACGATCATATTGTCCATTCACAGAGCTACGTATCATGTACAACACGGGCAGGAGTCTTCATGCTTTGATATTTGCAACGGCATCAGGCAGGGGTGCACGCTCTCGCCGCTGTTATGGGTCTGCGTCACCCACTACATGTTGCACCGGTTTAGCTTCAAGGCAGGGACAACAGCTCGTGACAGTCTAGTGCTTTTCGCTGATGATTTCATCTCGAAATTTATACTGCGTGACATGACTGACGTGCAAGCCCTTGCCACAAACATCAGGTACCTTTTCGAAACCTTGAGTGAGGCCTGCATGACTGTTAATCCTGAAAAATCCAAGCTTCACATCAAGGCTGCGGGAGTTCCGCTGAAAAAGTGGCTGAGCAAGCACACCATCACCCACAAAGGGGTCAAGTGCCTGGCCTTACGTACACCTTTTGACACGCTGTATCTGCCTCTTTGTGATCAAATGACTTACTTAGGGGCCGTGGTCTCTTACGCTGCCTTCGAAGATCAATCTGCTGAGCACCGTATTTGCAGTGCTCAAGCGAATGTGTCCAGGCTGGCAAGGCATTTATTCACGCAACATGGACTCAGCCTGAGGCTTCGTCTGCGCTTGTTCATGACTTGCGTTCGAGCGTCCCTACTGTATGGCATCCCGTCAGTAGGAGTCACTGCTAAAAGCCTTCGCCTTATGCAGAGATTTGAAGCCAAGCACGTCAGAAGGTTAGCCAGGGCCCCAGCGCATCTGACGCATGAGCGAACGCAGGACCTTTACGCGAGGCTTGGTCTCACTTCTTTGCAAGATGCGCTGCTTGCCCGAGCACAGAGCAGCGTTGACTCTTTTCAGAAGCCGTATCAGTTTCCGTGGAAAGCGGACTTGCGCAATTGGCAAGTGCAAAAGCTTGACGAACTAAAGGAATGCATTCAACTCAGTCAGTCCACCACACTGACTCAGACTGTGTCAGAGGGGGTTCCGTGCCCGGTCTGCGGCGTCTACTTTGACACCCAGCATGCAATGCGTGCACATGCCACGCAGAAGCACTCTATGATCTTTACAGTTCAGCCAGGCACTGCCACGAGTCAAACGCTAGATCCTCGTAAGCACAGTATGGGCGGCATGCCCACATGTCGCCACTGCAAAAAGCCTTTTAAGAAGTGGGCCGGCCTTCGGGACCACATCCTGAATGCTTGCAGTGTCTGGAGCAGCATTGCCAACATCCCTGCTCGGATCTCAGGATCCCCTCTCAAGCGGCCCGGCGGAATCTCGGGTTTTTCTTCAAAAACCGACAATTCCGCCGGAGGCCAAATCTCAGGTTTTTCCTCAGAAACGGACAATTCCGCCAAGGGCAAAACCCCTGAAAGCTCGGCAGGAAAGTTGGCAAGCAGCATGGCTGGGCGACCAGCTCAGCCCTCCATTCGCCCTAGCCCCAATGATGCTCCTGGCACTCATAAAGCTGATTCAGTCCCTGAGCTCACGATGCCACAGGCACCAGCTGCTTCGACTGCCTCAACCCCGAACCCTGCCGACTCGACCCCAGTTTCTGTTCACAGTCCTGATGACCCTACTACCTCAGCTGTTGCCAACATTTCGGAGCATCGACTAGCTGCTGGTGCAGATTGGGTCTCCTTTGCAGAGGCGCTTGGACATCAGCTTAAGGACACCTGCATGTTCTGCACGCAGTGGTGCGCAAAAGGTGGTGGAGTCAAGCAACATATCCGCCGCACTCACCCTGAGCACTGGCATCATAACGAAGACGTTCTCTTCCGCCTGAAACAACATTACCGGCTCAAATACAAAGGACGTTGTCGGGCTTGTGCGTTTGAACCTTCGGGCACCCAAGCAGGCGCCTTACACACCCCCAAATGCCTTGCCTATTACACGTGATTGTTCAGGCACAGCATGGAGCCCACTCTGGCGGAGAGGGAGGTGGCCAACGTCTTCGGTTCCTCGATGCCGGCCATTGCAGCAGCCAAATCGCAGCGCAGGGATCCGGACTCAAGCCCGGAGAAGTCGAAGTTCCTCAAGACCGATCGAGCCAAGGGAGTTCGAGGCAAGGGATTGGGAGGTCGCAAGCTGGCCCAGACCAGGGCCACGGGATCCCAACAGCAGCAACAGCAGGAGACACTGAGCGAGGAAACCATAGCGGAGCTCCTAGCCATCCTGACCCGACTGGCCCTCAAACACGAGGACATCTTGGCAGCAGTGCAGGCGGACAGCTGCTTCATGATGTATCTGGACACATCCGGCGACCTCTCCATCACGACCAATCTGTACCAGATCACACAAGCTTGGCAGACCAAAAAGCGGGACACCCCGGAGCTGCTCACGCAAAGTCTTCGGGTCACTCTTCTGACGGCACTGTTCATGGAGCTTCGGGAGCGCATGAACATGGCCCTGCTGGCAGAAAAACGCGAAGTGCTCGCCAAGCATCAGTGGATCAGCACCTCCGACCCGGCGACCTGGAATTACCAAAAGTGGGATCCGACGACCGAAGCCGCGGTCGTGGACGCGGCAAAGGTCGGAGTGCCGCATCAGGAGGCCATAGAGGTCATCCAGAAGATCATCCAGCTAGTTCCGTCCCTCCTTGTTCAAAAGTTTCACAGCACGCGACCCCAGGCTGCCGAATATCAATCCAATGTCCTCCCGTTTATGCTCATGATCAGCAATCGAGGCGAGAAGGCGCAAGACCTCTACAATCTCTTTCAAAAGATCTCCGACCTGAGTGCGCTGCGGCTCATCGGGGCGCGACTCCGTCCTCATCGCCAACGCCGACAGCCATTGGCGCTGACGCTGGAGGAAGTTGCAGCCGAGCTCCTGAAATCATCCAACCGAGACCGCCAGCCGGAGGGCGAGCTTTGAATGCATGGCCAACAGGTACACCTGCGTGTCCAGTGTTGTTCAATCCAGGACAGATCTGTTACATGAACTCCGTCATCACTCTGTTTTCATGGCTTGTGCAGGCATTTGCGATGGACCTGCCGTCGCCATACGGCGTGATGAAAACTGCTTTTGGGACCATCAAGGCCGGACTTAAACTCACCATCACCAACTGCCTTCCTTGGCAGACCGTGATCCGGCAGTGGTTTCGTGAAATGCAGACTGACCTTCATGCGCAGCAGGATGCAGTAGGATTTGCCGAGTTTTTGCTACGCCACGCAGACATCCCAGCTTTCCGGGGCACTTGGGAGGCCAGAACCCATGAACGGATCTTGAATGACTCAGGTGTTTTGCCTATTCGACTTGAGCTACGTACGGACCTTCAGGCTTGCATTGATTATTGGCATGAGCAGACTGTGCGCTTCATCCAGGCGCTGCGTGTGCAGCCCGCATTGCTCCTACTGCAAATTTCGCGTTTTGACCCGGAGGATCCACTACGCAAATATGATGCACCTCTTTTGATTGAGGCAGGCCAAATCATCACCATGCCGTGTTTCGACAGTGCACACAACATCATACGCGTGAGATACAGAGTTGCCGGGATGATCTACCACTGTGGTCCCACCATCCATGCAGGTCATTACCAGACAGTTTTGTGCACCTTGCGGGCGGCTGAGGGCAGAGCATCCGGGTACCAACTTCATGTCACCGATGATGGTTGTAAACCCCGTAAGCCTAAACCCCAAGACCTTCAGCACCTGTCCACCGGAGCCTACCTGACAACTTCTTAGTTTTCCTTGAAACCCCACTTTTAGAGCTTGAGTTTGACTTGTGAAAGACCGCTTGCGGAAGGCTCAACAAGTGTGCGCAAAAGTTGTGCTGTGGTTTTATGGTAGCGGAGCTACCAAAGCTCCAGAGGACCGAACACCGATCCTGGTAGAGCCCTGTAGGAGTAGCCTCGAAAGCCCACCTTGTGTGGAATAGTCCTCGCGTGCGTGTGCGGCGCTGCTTGGCTTGCGTACGAGCTCTTCTACAACCGCTGCTGTGGACGAGGCGGCCAGTTCTTGAACTTCGGGGTGAACCGCTGCTTGGTGGTGTGAAACAAGTAGCAAAGGGGGCGTTGAGCCTTGAGCCGGTGCAGCGAAGATGGAGTCTGCTTCGGCAGCCCCTCCTGCTGGAGATGTGTCTCCAGGAGCCTCTCCGAGTGCCTCGGGCGCTCTGACTGGAGAGTTGGTTCTGGACAGGCTGGCGCAAGCGGTCAGTCAGTTAGCTATGTCATCGTCGGCGTCTTCGGCTGGCGGTGGCTGGAAAGAAAGCAAGTTTGTGAGACAGCCTGATGTTTTCGAGCCAAAAGACATGGAACAAGAAATGCAGATGTGGAACGATTGGTCTTTCCGCTTCAAGTCCTTTATGATGATTCAGGACCCCATGTTCAAGGAGGACTTGGACCAGTGTGAAACAGCTACGGCCTTTACTGCTTTCAACAGCTACACCGAAGGCCAAAAGCAGAGAGCAGTTCGTCTCTACGCCATGTTGGCTTCCTACTTGAGGGGGAGACCACTCAAGATGCTGCGTTCGGTCACGGACGCGGATGGCTTCAAAGTGTGGCGCCAGCTCCATGATGAACTGGCACCAAAGAGCAGACCTAGGACTTTGGCGCTTGCTCAAGCGCTCACTCGGTTTCCACCGTACAAGGAGGGCACCAGCATCCTAGAGTATGTGCTCACGTTCGAGCGGCTGGTTCGAGAGTACGAATCTCTTTCTTCCCAAGTCTACGCAGAAGATCTGAAAATAGGAACACTTCTCTCCGGCCTTCCTACAGAAATGCGCAGGTACCTTCAGATGCAGATCGTCGACTCCACCAAGTACGAGCAACTTAGGGAGAGGGTCCTGCAGTACGAGCGTTCTTCTTCGACTTGGAATGCAGATCATGTTTTGAAGTCGTTGGGTTTAGGTCGTGTTCCTGGAGCAGAAGGTGATCCTATGGATGTTGACAGAGTAGAGAAGGGCAAGTCTTGGAACAAAGGGAAGAAAGGAAATCCAAAAGGACCCAAAGGCCCCAAAGGACATCAGAAAGGAAAGAGCACGGCAATTACAAGGGCAAGGGCAAAGACAAACATGGAGGTGGCAAAGGAAAGAAAGGTGTACAGCAAGTTTGCTTTGTGTGCGGCAAGCCTGGACATTTTGCTGCTGAGTGTCGGCAGCGTGTGAATGCAGTGCAAGATGATGCTGCGTCACAGGCTTCTGTTTCGACTGCGCCAACTTCGGCGACCTCCATGGCCAAGAGCAAGGCGAAGGTTCAGCGTGTTGATCTGTGTGCCTTTGAAGAGAGTGACGGTGATACTGAAGATGTTCATGTCACATTCTACGATGGTTCTGTGCGCGTTGTTCGTGAGATTGATGCAGAGCCTCTTCTTGATTCCAGTGCAAGTGCAGATGAGTTACCGAGCAGTAGTACCATGTGGTATCGCATGACATCAGATTCTTCGGACAGCCAGAGCTTGAAGTCTTTGTGCAGCGGAGAACGCTCCATTGATGTTTCAAGCCAAATGAGTTCGGAGGAAGTTGCTGCGAGGGCTGTGAGAGACACAGGCCTTCATGAAGTGATTCTGGACTCCGGCGCTGATTGCACAGTGCTGCCTCAAGGTCAGTTCGGATCTGTAGGCGAGGATGGCCACCGCAGAGCGACCCTTGTCGATGCACAGGGGAACACCATTCCCCAATCTTCTTCTCGGCAGCGCGTTCTGTTTGAAGTAGAAGGTGAGGATGGAGAAATGATCCAGTTCACTGATTTTGCCATTCTTGCCAATGTCAAGCAGCCTCTGTTTTGCTTTGGGAAGCTCTTAAAGAATGACTGGCAGCCTGTGAAAGAGGACGGTTCTTGGTACTTGCGCCGTGATGATTCTCGCTTCGGGGTTCATTGGAGCAAGAACTCCCTGGCAACCTTCATGAGAATAAGCAGGGTCTCTGATGAGCCTGGTTCCGAGCCTAGAGAAGATCCCCCCGAAGCAGCTGAAGGCGCAACCCAAAACACATGTGATCAAGATCCGCTTCGCCTTTGTGTGGTGCTGGCCCTCAGCGACCACGTCGATGTGCTCACGCATGAGGCTGGATGGGGGCTCTCGATAGAAGGGTTCCCGGCGCATCTTGGAATGGGGATGCGTGGAACGCTTGATGGTAGCATCTCCGGCTTCACTCCTGATGATTGGCCTTTGAGAATAACGCTGCTCTGGAGAGGAGGTTCTCGCTATGAAGTTTTTGAGGATTGTGAGCCTTGGGGTCCCCTAATTCCTGGAGGGCCTTGCATGTACTCTGAGTTCGACAAAAAGGAGAAGAAGGTGCTCACGATCTTTGTCAAGGAGGCCATTGAGCTAGAGTCGTTGGGCAGCATTGTTGAAGGTGAAGTTCGTCCTCGGGTAGTTCCTGAACCCAAGCCCCTAGAGTCTTCTTCAGCAGAACAACCTCAAGTTCCAGCAGAACAGCCTGATGCAGTTGGTGAAGGTGATGTCCTTGTTGCTGATGCCCAATCCGGGGGAGATCATCCGGGCCAAGGCGATGGAGTTCCACCCTTGATCGGCCCGGCTCCTGTGGAAGTGCAGGGTGATGAAGATGAAGCTGTTCAGGTCAACAACAAGGTGCTCACCGAGAACAGTTCGCTTAGGGAACTCCGTGAAGGATGCAAGTTTCTCAGCATTTCGAAGAATGGTTCCAAAGCCCTTGTTTGGGCAAGGCTCAAAAAGGAGATCGCTGATAGCAAGCTTCGGGCTAGCGTGCAGGCGTCGGAGGAAGTCTTGAAACAGCTGGAACGAAAACCTTTGGCCGAAGCCCTGGCTTCCCCTCCAGCGCCTGAGCTCGTGGCCCTTCATGAGATTTCCCACATGCCGCGGGCGCCATGGTGCGAAGCTTGCGTTGCAACTCGCTCCCGAGAGGACAACTTTGAAGACGTTGGGAACACGCGAAGAGAAAATCCCATCATCTCCTTGGACTACATGTTCACTGGGACAAAGGACAATGGATTGGCAACCCACTTGGTCTGTGTCGATAGCCAGTCGAAGTTTGTCAAGGTTGTTGCTTTGAGTGCCAAAGGGGGTAGCTTGCTGAAGTATGCCACCAAGGAAGTGATTATCTTGTTGCAACAGCTTGGCTATTCTCAGGTGAGTTTGCGCTTCGACACAGAGCCCGCCATGAAGCAGCTAGCGGACTCTATTCAGACCTCTCGTCTGAAGATGGGCCTGGGAACCACTTTGGAACCTGTAGGTCCCGATCCTTTGGCACATCGAGCCCTACATGCTGAGAGATACATTGACACCGTGCGCCGTTTGGGAAACTGCTTGCTGGAGACAGTGAGGCAGAGAACGGGGCACAAAGTTGAGAGCAGCGATCCTCTTTTCGCTTGGGCTTATGTTCATGCTGGCTTCTTAATTTCTCGCTTCACGGTGCACAAGGATGGCTGCACGAGCTATGAGCTGGTGCATGGCAAACCTTACAGCCAGAAGCTGTGTCCTTTCGGAAGTGTTGTGTATGCCCAGGTTCTGCCCAAGACCAAGAACAAAGGTGAGCCGTGGAAGTCGTATGTGTGGCTTGGTCGCTCTGAGCTCGGCCAGCTGCACATCCTTGGGAGTCCTGTGGGAATCCAGTTTGCCAGGACAGCTCGTCGTGCACCGAAGGGATATGATGTGGAAATGCTGAAAACAATGCGTGGCGTTCCTTGGGACTTCTCTCTGGAAGTCTTGGCTACAAAGCAGAAGAAGACTGACTACAACAGGGTGCCGGTGGTCTTGGAGACTTTGCCTTCGAATGCCAACAACGACGAGGCAGCTTCTGATCCTCCTTCTTCAGCTTCTGGGCAAGGTGATGCAAGTCCAGTGGCCAGCGGAGACCAGATGAGTGTGACTCTCCCTGGTGGCAGTTCGTTGAGCTCCTCTGGATCGTCAATGTCAGAGGAACTTCTTCCTGCTAACGTTGCAATTGCTAGCACTCTGTCTGCTTTCAGTGTTGAAGGACTTGAAGATCTTCCCACTGGTCATGAACCAGAGCCTGAAGTTTTTGGAGAAGAGGATGATTTGGATGCCTTTACCGACGAGGGCATCAATTGGGAGATTGAGGAGATCTTGGACGATGCGAAGAGACGGGCTTATGAGGATGGCCCACCTTGCTTGGATCCTGAGAAGCTTGAACTCTTGGATGCTGAAATGGACAAAGTTGAGGAGGAGCGGCTTCTCAACATGGGTGTTCTCAAGGAGCTCACGGACGAGACCAAGAAGGCGGAGATGTACAAGTTGAGTTGCAAGTTCGTGAGAGATTGGCGCTTTCGTGACGAATGGAAGCGAAGGAGCCGGCTTGTGGCGAGGGAGTACAAGTTTCTCCAGCCCGAGATGGCTGATCTTCATTCTCCTGCGTCTTTGGCTTCTTTGCAAAAGCTCTTCGCAGCGCTGGCGTGCAGCAACCCGAACCTTGTGGTCTTGAGTGGCGACGTGAAGGACGCATATCTTTGTGTAGAGCAACGGCGACCAACCTACATCGAGACCTCAAGGGGGATATGCTACGAGCTCAAGTTCAACTTGCCGGGACAGCGAGCGGGTGCAAAAGATTGGTTCGACAAGTTCAGATCCATTTTGGAGCGTGACAACATTCGCAGCTTTGTCGGTGCCCCTGCCTTGTTCATCGAGCCGAGGTCCATTGCTGTGCTCACACATGTGGATGATATTGAAACAGTGTGCGAGCTAGATAGAGCTGAGAGACTCAAGGCCCACTGTGAGAAAGAGGGTTTGAACATTTCATGGGAAGGGCCTTTGAGTGTGGACTTTGGTTGCTGCAAGTTTCTCAAAAGGAAGATGTATTCTGTTGAAGGGGGCATCTTCATTGAGCAGGACAAGAAGCACATTCAAAAGCTGATAGAGTTGACTGACACCGCCCGCGCAACTGTGAAACACACTCCCTGTCCTTCTCATCCCCACCAGTGTTCTGATGAAGCTCTTTTAGGAGGCGAGCACTACAACAAGTTCCGGACCGCGATCGGCATCCTGCTCTATATGGGGCCGGACAGGCCTGACATTCTTTACTCTGTGAAGGTTCTCTCCAGTAGGACCACCACACCCCGGCAACATGAGTGGAAGCTTCTGTGCCACTTGGTGCGTTACCTGAAAGGGCAAGATGATCAAGGACTTTTGTTCACACCCTCGTGGCCGGGTCGGACCTTAGAGCAGAGGTGTCTTGAGCTGGAAAGGGATGAGGAAGTCAAGATCAAGGGCAACAATCCTTTCAGTGGGAAACACCTACTTGAGAGTGTTTCTGATGCATCCTGGTGTTCTGAGCCTGGTCGTTTGAGTGTGTCGTGCTCCATCCTGTATGTCAATGGCAACCCTATCTTCATGACAAGCAAGAGGCAGAAAACAGTAGTTTTGTCGTCGTGCGAAGCAGAAGTACATGGTGCCCTGCTTAGCCTCCAGGAGGCACTGCTGATCAAGAGGGTCATCAATTGCCTCACTGGTGGAGAGTGCGAGTGCATCCACAGAGTGGACAACAGTGCTTGCAGAGCTTTGTTGAACAGAGAAGGCCTTGGGGGCCTCAAGCATGTTGACTTGCGCTACTTGTGGGTACAGCAGAAAAGAAAGGATGGCGAGTTTTCGGTGAAGGCCATAGGAACCCAGTTCTGTCCAGCTGATATCGGCACCAAGGCCCACGCAGCACCTCGCATGAAACTTCTGAGCTACATGTGCGGTGTGTCATGTTCCCATGGTCCTGTTGGAAAAGAGGTGTTCGTTGCAGCTTGGAATGCGCAGGCGACTAAGAAGATGGCAGCGAAAGCATCCAGGGTGAACATGAAGCAAAATCTACGTCAAGTTTTGGCTCTCAGTCTTCTTGAACTTGGCTGGGGAGCTCCTTGTGACGAAGTGCCATCTGCCATGGACAACCAGAACAACTTCGTGCTCAACGTGATCTTCCTGGGTTTGGTCTTCTTTGTCTTCAGCGAAGTGGTCAAGGTGATCTTCTTCCTCTTCAAGAAAGGGGGCAACATTATCTTCAAGGGAAGCTCCTTCAGCTTTGCCGTGGTCTACCTCAACCTCTTTGGCTTCGCCCTCGGCAAGGACAGTGTGGAAACATCTATGTCACCTACATCGAGTACCTCCTGGACATCTTCGACTACATGGACCAATGGTGAGCTGATCTCCTTCCTGGTGCTGTTCTTCCTCTCCATCACGCTGGTGGTGATGTCGTCTCGCAGGTGGCGGCAGGTGGAGAATGACGTGGAGAGTGGCAATGGCGAGGAGGAGAACCTTATCTCTGAGAACGAGGTGAGGGATCGAATGCACACGTGGCTGGAAAATATCTTCCTGCCTGCTTTGATGAGCCCTTTTGTGTCCAGAGATGGAATGGCTACGTCATCAGCTTCTTCGTCTTCGAGGGACGCTGGCAGTGGGAATGGTTCTTCTGGAGTGGCCCAACCTTCGAGGCCAACGAGCTCTTCGGTGACACCTTCAGCGGCGACTTCTTCAGCGACAACGACGGCTGCCTCTACAAGCTCTGCGGCTGCGCTTGGTCAAACGGCCACGTACACTGGAACCCTGCACCTGCAGGGTGGAGGTGGCTATGGAGTCCCGCGAGATGATCGACAGGACAATCAAGTTCTACAGGCACCAGAACCTCCCACTCACACTGTGTACACAATCGGTGCTCTTCGTCGTGGAAAGGCCTACCATAGGGAGTTCTGTGGCATGGTTCGGAAAGCTCGGCAACAGCGACCTCAAGATGTTCAGGCGATGAGAGTGACCCGTGCAAGAGTGAATGGGCTTGCAGCCTGCAAGCAGTGCAATCCGGACTTGACTGGGTGATGTGAGTGCGGTAGCTGAGTGTACAGCTTCTCTTTGAAACGAGCCGATGTAAGACCTTTGGAATAGCTTTCGGCTTTTCTCCTGAGTAAAGTGTTTGCGCTAGGTTTGTAAGTAGTCTTCAAGTGAGTCTCACAGGTGATTGCACCCTAAAAAGAAAGAGCCCAAAGTGCATCACCTTGCAAGCTGTTTGTTTGGAACACTCTAAAGGATCCCGGGAACTAGAACAAAATTTGATGAGCCCCAAGATGCTCCCCGGGACAGGGTTTGTACAGGAAAGCGGTAGCAAACCTTTAGGGTAGAGTGTGGTGCGTACTCCAGTGCTCTAAAAGGACAGCCTGACTAAAGTCAAGCGGGAGCGCTCCGGTTGTTGTGCAAACTGAGGCCAGTGAAGGGCATCAGTTTGAAGGGGGTGACAACTTCTTAGTTTTCCCTGAAACCCCACTTTTAGAGTTATGAGGCTGAATTCTATCTAAGCCTGGATTGTGTTAGAGCACCCAAAAATGGGATTCCAAAATAGAAAAAAATAGGAAAAAAATGGAATTGAATTAACTGCCGATTTGACCGTTCAGAATAGGAATTTAATGGACAAAAAATAGAAACAAAATAAAGAAAAAATAGCACAAAAATTGAAAAATAATAGATAAAAAATAGACAACAAACGAACACACTCACACATATAATGAAAGATGGTTTAGAACTGGTTTGTATTTTGCTCAGGATCTCAATATTAAATCAATACATCGCTCAGGAGCTAAATTAAATATTAAATCAATACATCGTAACAACGATAACTGAGGAACCTCACGCATACAATGGCATTCCAAAACGATTAACAACACACACAAACACACATTGAATGTTCATACTTTATATTTCAATTTTTAAATTGGATCGGAAAACAAAATTAGCAACGGACACAATGGCTTTCCAAAAGGAAATGTATTGGTTTGCCATAGCCATTTTCCAGAACGACTAACTGTATCATAGTATACATTGCTCCATTCACCATTCATCATCATTCAGTTTGAGGTAATTCACTTCTTCCTTGCAACTGTTTTTTCGGCGCTACTCTTCGTCTACTGTCTGCTCTATTTCCGGTCCTTTACTTTGCTGACTCTACTCGTCGCTCGTCTACTGAACTCCGATGCAGCGTGCAAACATGACATGGCACGTGCAGTACGCATTGCGCCTGCGCACACACAGGGTCGCATGTGCATGTGAGTCATGAGCCGTCCCTGCTGTGAGCCTCTGTGAGGGATCATCCGATAAATTTGGCACGATACAGAGAAGATTAGCAGATGAGCATGGCCCCTGTGCAAGGCCGCAGCAAGAATGACACGCACAAATCCTAAACCCTGAACCTTTCGATACTTCGGAGTTGCTGAGGTGGAATCGAGAAGTGTACCAAGTGTCAAAACTGGTTACCTTCTTAACCCTTGGACCTTAGCCTTAGACTCAGCGCTGCCACTACGTCAGAACCCCCTCCCCTCACCTGTTTCTTTTGTAATGTGTGTGCGTGTGTGTGTGTGTGTGTGCGTGGCCCCTCTGCCGGGCGACTGTAGCGGCGTGAGACCGCTGGCCGATGAGTGGTGGCCGGGGAAGTCCGGGCCCCTGATTGCAGTGCGGCAGTGCGGCCTGTCGTTGAGGTAGGTCCAGGTAGGTCCGGTAGGTAGGTCCGTGCCCAGGAGTGAGAGCCTTCGGTCTTGACCCCCCGCGCCCCAGCCCTGAGGTTCCTAGGCAAAGGTGTGAGGTTTAAGACGTCAGTGTTTCCCGGTGGTCGCCCCCTCGCCCAGGTCCGTCGCCTTTGCTGCCTTTGCTGCCTTCGCCTCGCGGTGGCATCCTCGTGGGTTCTGTCAGGGCCTCAGCACTTCTGCAAGCTGCGAGTTGACCGGGTTTCCCATTCTCGTTGGCTGCCTTCCTTGATGCCGATGCTGTGTCTACACACCTTAAGACAAGCCTTAAGCCGCATGCCACATTCCACGTACCTTTTGGTGCTGAGGTGGGGCGCGGCTTGGCCACTCCGTGGTCCGTGGCAGCCTGCTCCTGAGATTCTGGAGTCTGGGGATTGAGACAGTGACTTGTGTTTGAAGCGTGCAGTGATGGGACAGTGCACGCAGGGTTTAGGCTTATAGGGTTTGGTTTCGAGTATAATTGGAAAATTGGGCTTGGGGTCTCAGGTCAGTCAAAGGGTCAGGCTCAGTATGGAGTAACAGGCATCGGCACTGCAGTCGGTCTGGGGTTTATAGGGTTTTAGGTTTTAGGCCTTAGGCTTAGGCCCGAATTTCGGTTCCCCTTTCGACGAGGTCCTCTTCTTCCTGGTCTTCGCCTTCGCGCTGCGCTGCTTCATCTTCGCTGAGGAGGTGCTGCATCCCGTAAGTCGGTAAGTTGTGGGGTCAATTTAGTATTTGGATGTACTTGGTTAATTCATGCAGTGATGAGATTGAGATCAGTTTCGAGCTTGAGGTGTGCAGTCCAGGGCTGACCCCCAAAACCCCCGCCGACAGGCTGCGGCTGCTGCTTGGTGCGGCTACGGCGGCTTCGCCGTTCACCGGGGAGGTGCCCTTCTTACGTGCTTGGTTTCGGGCTTAGGCTTAGGCTTAGGTCTTAGGTCTTAGGTCACGTCGGTTCTCGGGTTCTTGACTTTTGCTTCTTTCAGAATTTCAGATTATGTTGTATGCCGTGTTGTTCTGCTAAACCAACTTCGCAGGCCCTAACCGCCCTAACCGCCCTAGCCGGCCCCAAAATTCCTAAGCTCATCTTTCATCGGGTTTAAGCACGTCAAGAACTTTAGGTTCAATGCTTCGGAATTTTGGGGCTTGGGATTTGGGACTTTAGCTCCTGAGGTGCCGACGTCGTGGGGTGGGGTCCTGTGGGTCCTTGTGCGTCTGGGACTCTGGGTGAGGTGTTGGTTGTCTGTTTGGGGTTGCACGGTTGGTCTTGACTTTGGAATTTCAGAGCCTAGGCCTAGGCCTGGGCCTAGCATCGTGTGTGCGCCGATGGCTTGTGGCTTGCAGTCTGAGGGCCACCGACATGTCATGTGACGTGCTCCGCATTAGTTAATCAGTAATCACATGAATCACACAACATGTCAAAGTGCTTTTTCCTTTGGGACCTTTCGAACACCCTAGGACCCTACGGCCCTAGCGACCTTTCGACTGTAGACTGTCGCCACTCCCGCTGTAGGGTGCCTTGCGTTGTAGGGCTTGAATCATGATCCATGGAGCCCATGAGCCGTTCTACCATCATTCGACGATAACTGTCGAAGCTGCGGAGATTGCGATCAAGGAGCTGCCGATTCATGCCACAACCCTGGCGTCCGCGATCCCGATAGCTACGATGAGTTCGCCCTGGACATGCCCCTGAGGTCGATGTTGGCAGAAGCAGTGCCTCGCACATACTTTTGGGGCTGGGGCCTTGGGCCTTTGGTTATACCACTAGCACTAGCATTGCTAGCGGTTAGGTTCGGTTAGGGCGGTTAGGGCTAGAGTGGCTGGGGTTTAAGGCGGTGCTTTAGGGACTTTAGGGTTAGGGTTTCGGTTTGGTTTTGGAAACGATTTGGCACAGGCCCGGAACTGCTCTGACTCTGGCACGGCGTCCAAAGTGGTGGCGATTCACGTGTTCGTCCAGGACATCGATGAGGGGGCCGCCAGTGCTGGAAAAGTCAAGGGCAGTGACAGTGCCGATGATGGCGAGGACGGCGAGGACCATGACAATGATGACAATGCAGATAGCAGCAATGGCAATGGCAACGACGTGCAGGTGAAGCGGCGTAGGACCTAGGGCCAAGGACGGCGTTGGCATAGGACCTAGGACCTAGGACATAGGTCCACAGGACTTCCGAGGACCCAGGCCCAAGAAGTCACATGGCTACGGCTATGGCTATGGCTACGGCTATGGAGCATTTGAAATTCAATATTGCTTCGCATGGGGCATGGGCCATGGGCTTTATCACTTGTGACTGGTGGGTCCGGTCGGCTGTTTTTGACGGTGGCTTGCGGCTTGCCTCCCCACTGATCACGGAGGCATGCAGTCATGGAGCATGTGCACATCACACACACGCACACACACACGTGACTTAGACACATGCACACACGCACACACACACACACACATATCCCTTGGCCTTGGCCGTGGTCAGTGTGGGCACAGCCGCATTTGCGCTTCACTTCGCACCGAGCTGGCGCTGCGGCTGCCCCAAAGTGCCGACCATTGCGTTGCTTCCCGAGCCTTAATTAACCCTCAAGCCCCTAGGCCCTAGGCCCTAAGATTTTCAAGGCACCCGCCTTACTTCCATGGATTTCCCCATCCTCTGTTCCCCTTTGTCTTTGTCCCTTTGTCTCAGTCTCAGTGACTGCTAACGTTTTCGCATGATCCTGTCTGCCCTAAGCCCTAAGCCCTACGGCCCCACTCCTCCACGGCCCTTTCCCAACCCAGCTCGAAGCTTGAAGCCCCTTCAACTCAAAACTAAGCCTGTTAAGTAACTAAGTCTAAGTTACTAAGTCACTTGCTCTCAATCTTCCCGTCTCGTTCCAGGTGCCTGCCTGTTGCCTCAGCTGCTGCTGCAGGCTCGAGCGACGGAGTGGAGCGGACTTAAGTTAAGTACTTGGGGCTTTGAGTGTATAGTATAGTAGTGGCTTAGTTGTTCAGCGTTAGGTGTCCCCCTCCCCCGCGCCCACCTCCGTTCGGGTTTCGCCCCCGTAGCGGTTAGGGTTTCGCCTTCATGGCCGTTAAGCGCCCTTCATGGCGGTTAGGGGTTTAGGGCCCTGCCCCCCCCCCCCAGCGGTGGGCCATAGCCCCTACTGGCCCTACTACGCGCTTGCCTCCTGATATTCTGGCTTGCTTTTTCGTGCCCTTGCATTGCTTCACACTTGATGATGGCACGGCAGAGAGAGAGATAGTAGTAGTAGTGTGGGTCATATAATCATATAAATATATGTGGGGTTAGGCCGTGTTGTTTGGTTTCGGTTTTCTGGGGTCAGGGTGGACTTTCTATTCTATTCCAATAATCAGGTCCAAATTAGGTAATGTAGAGGTGGGGCAAGGCCGTGCTTTTTTGGCTCGGCTCGGGTTTCTGATTCTGGGATTCTGGGGTCGGGATGGACTATCTACTAAAGTGTTTGAGTTCTCACGCCATAATTCTATAGTTCTGTCTGAAGCATCGGTGGTGCTGATCGGGCTCGGGTTGAAATGTGGTAGGAATGGTAGATCATTGTTCGGTCGGCCAGGGCTCTTCGTTCGCTTTTTGGTGGCTGGTCTGGAAAGTTTTACTAACGTGGATGCACTCTAAGACCCTAGGACTCTTTCATTATCGGGCCACTCGGACTTCGCGCTAGGACTCTAGGGCTATAGGACTTGGGGCTTAGGACTAGGCCGGGACGAAACGGCTAAAGCTGCTACGGGGGTACCGCGCATTGGTGTGACAGGTCGCTGAGCCAGCGATGCAGCCTTCCTTGCAGGCAGGCCTGGCAGCCTCGATTTTTGAAGAGGATGACACAGGCGCAGACACAGGCATGCCCGTGGACATGGAAACCCCTTGTGCAAAGAGGAGTGCTGCAAGCTTGTTCGAGAATAGCGACAGTGACGCTCATGATGATGCAGATGCACAGATCGGAGACGGAGAGTGCGAATTGGAGATCGAGGGCCAAGAGATCATGCACGGAATTGAAGAGAGAAGGGAAGGAAAGGGCCAAGGCCGGGGCACCGGCAAGGGCAATAGCAATCCTGCAACTGCTCGGTGGGCTCGCTGGGGTCGCGCAAAGCAACTGGGGCCTGCGGCTCCACCGTTGTCAGAGTCTGCCGGTGCTACTCAGATAGGCTCAGCTCTCGCAGGGCAGCTTTCCAATGTAACCAAAGTAGGTGCAGAGCTGGTTCGCGCTGGCTTGGTATCGGCTTCACAATGTATCGCTGGCCTGCAGCGAGCTGTCAATGTCGGGCGCCGTTGTCATGAGATTCCCAAGTTTCAGCGCGTCAATGCTCTGTTGTTCGGAACTGATGTTTTGCGAACCAACGCGAGGCCGCTTGCACAGCTTCTAGGTGAATCACGATTTTGTGTTCATGAAGTTCCCCAACGTTTGGCTAGCTTGGCTTTGTCTTTCCAAGAGGCCTTAGCAGGAAGCTTTGTGTCCAGGGTTGTTGCAGCAGCAAAGACTTCTTGCCAGATGCCCTCGCCAGTTTCAGCTTCAGCTCAGGGGTCAGACCCGCAATGCTCCGGCAGCATCCCAACCCAGGGCCAGGATTTGGACCAAGCCTCTCCCCGCTTTGATTTGTCCTTATTCATGCACGTGCGGCAATATGACGAAACTCCGATTAAACTTAAAGTCAAGGTGAATGAAAGCTACAGCCTCGTAGGTGACCCAAGTGCAGATTCGCAGGCAACCAGGCCCGGTGTGCGTGAATGTGAATTGCCAGCATCTGCACGCACACCCGTGCAATTGCCGGTTTCATCAAAAGAAGTGGAGGTGTATCCTTGCAAGTTGTTCTTGACGCAGCAGCGCTTTTCCATGCTGCTGACTCGCAAGGGCGCAGGGCAGCCTGCAGCAAAGGCGCAGGCGACAGAGATCATAGAGGACCCTTCTGAATCAACTTCTAAGTCTTCTAAGTTTAAGACTGAGAATGCACAGGAGGCCCCGAACACTTTGCAGATCGAAGCCCATCTCACCAGCCCCCTGCAAGTGCTGCATACAAACTCTGCTGCAAACATCGCATCAGCGCTTCAGAAGAACATGCATTCCGAAGTTGTGGATCAGGCAAGGTCATTTGACCGGGTTCTTCATGTCGTCACTACAGATGATTATGCTGCCAACCATCTGGCTGAAAAGATGCTGACACAGCAGGAGATGTGTGAACTCCATGGTGATGTCAGTGAAGACGACCCAGCGAGGAGTGATGACAAGGCGGGCAAACTGCACTTAATTTGCGAGGTCCATCGCCTCCATGGTGTAGCGGCAAGCATGTACAGTTTGTGTCCGGATTTCATATCCGGTTTGATCAAAGCCTCCCTGGTGTTGCGATCCGGACATATGAGCAGTTTGAGACGTTGCCTGCGTGCGCTGATCGTTGCCAAGCTGCGTGTGTACCAATGCGAGCCGCCCGAAAATGTTGTTGCTGGGCCTAGCATTCCAGCAAGCAAGGCATTTTTTATGAACACCTTTTTCAGCAACCTGGCATCCGCCGATGCACTGCTTCTTCAAGAACTCTTCAATGGTGACTGGGGAGTGCAGTCAGAAATCCAACACTACTGTGTGGGGTGTTGTTCGAGTCCCCAGGAAACCATGCAAAGGTTCTTGCGAGAAGGTGTCAGGCTCCTTGCGGGAGCAGCTCCATCCATATTCCCCCGCCATAAATGGATAGGAAGTGACGCAGCAATTGATTGGTACGGTCGGCTCCAGTGTGTTCACGGTTTGTTGACACAGGTGTTTGAGGATGTTTTCGGCCCTAGTCCGGGTCCCAGTCGGCCAAACAAACCGACAGCCTCAGATCCGGCGCAGTCACAGTCTTCACATGCTCAGGCTCAGTCCCGCGCTCAGACACGACCCAGTGACGCTGTGGACACGGATGATGTAGAAGCTCAAGCGCAGGACGACCGTGGTCAACTCTTAGCTTTGCAGGTTTTCGAGACCTGCGGCTTCGCAGCAGCTGATTCCGGAGACCGGCAAGACGACCAATGGAAGGCCATAGCCAAGAAATGGCGTGATGCTGCGTATGCTTGGGCATGCGGCCATCCTGACGGCCCGCTTGCTTTGCTTGCTGAAATGGTATTCCTGCGGACTGTGCTTGGGCCTCAAGTCAACCTCATGGCAAAGCAGCTGAAGCTTTCGTCTAGTGAGTTTGACCAACAGCAGGCCCTGGCGGAGCTTACAACGGGTCTGCGCAAGTACCGCCTCACTGAAGTGCATGCCGATTCGGCCAGTGCTGAAGCTGAGGTTGCCTTGGCCAAGTTGTTCCAAAAATCACACTGGGAATCCTTGCCTTTTGTGTTCTTGACTCAGCGAAATAACAGCTTCGCATTCAAACTTACTGCAAGGGTCCTTGCCGCCTTGAAAGTTTATATCCGCAATCGCAGATCTGGGTACCCGTACAAGCTTTTTCTCCTTGCGACGGCACAGGCCACAGAGGCGGAACGCGTGGCCAAGGAAATTGTTTTTGATTTTTTCTACGAGCCATGTCGGTTAGATTCCTTCACATGGTGGTTTGTCAAGGGTTTTCGCTCGGCAGAGCGGCTGGCCAGTGCAGAGGCCCGCGCTCACCTGCAAGCCATTGCAAAGGTTGCAAGTGTTGATATTGCAGCCACGGAGTGCCAGCATGCCAGCAATCGGCGGCACATAGAGTCCAAAAGCATCCAGAGTCACAGGCAACTCTTGGCAGCAGCTAGCGCAGCCTATGTTGCCAGGACTCTTCGACACACCTGTGCTCCCAGTCGAGGCTTTCAGAGTTCGAAGCCTGTCCCAAGAAAGCCTGGTCGAAAGCCGCGGACAAAACCTGATGTTCGCAGTGTCCACTTCCCTAAGGCTCAGGATTTGCGTCGGGGCGGGGGCTCCTGGAATGTTTTCCTGTCACAAAATCGGGGTGGCCCCCAGGTCACCACACCTGCAGGCAAGCATTCCAAGGCCCAGCTTAGGAAGAGATACCACGACTTGAAAAGGCAAGCGGGGTCTGACTGGCAAGAGTTGCATCGGTTGGGTAGCTTGAAAACACAAGCCAGGAAATTTGCGAAGAAAGGTTCTGGGCCGTTGATACCCCGCAAGCGCAAGGCAACAGACGCCTTGCCACCTGTCGCGGAACATGGTAGCTTGCTCAACACCAAACACCTTCGATTGCAGCAGCGAAGGCTTGCTGTGAAGCAGGATCGGGAGAAGCAGCAAGCTGTTCGAGACTCGGCATGCAGACTTCAAGATTCTTTGTCCCACGCAGATGTGAGTGCTTCAGAGCAAGCTGTGCTGAACTTCAGTGGCATCACCGCACAGGAGCTGTGCCGGGATGCAGATTCGAGCCGCCCTGTCTCTTCGTGTCCGCCTCAGCTCGAGCTGATCGAGCCCGGGTCTGTCTCTGAACTTCAGCCTTCGACGCCCTTGGGCTTGGGGCCCTTGACTTCGGCCTTGGCTTTGCCCGCAGCTTCGGCACAGGTAGCAGCGCTCCCTGTCAGTGTGGATCAATCTGCCCCTGCAAAGCTTGAATCGATCTCCACAGCTGCTTCCATGGATGCCATGGCCATGGAATCCATGGAAGCTGCAGCCAGAGCTGCAGCCGAAACAACTATGACGATGGCCATGAACCCTGCTTCCGTGTGGGCTTTGCGACCGGATGTGGCCAACAGTCGAAGCGGCTTGTGCTTAGACACATCAGCAACAGCCATGCATGCTGCTCCTTTCTTTCTGGCACAGATTTCTCAAGGCGAGGCTTCCTTCCTGCGTGGAATGACGAATTTTCAGAGCTTGGATCTTGCATGGCACCAGAGACACGAGGTCGTGTCCACTGCCAGTGGTGTAGCCGAGGGTGAGCAACCCGATCAGCCCGCGCGGGCTTGCGCTGAAGTTCTCCCTTCAACCAAGGATGATCAGCAAGAACAGCAAGAAGAAGACGTGGACCCTCAATCTCAGGACCGGGTTCCGGCAGCCAAAAGAACGAAGACACTCAAAGTGAGCAAGAGCAAGTGCTTAGGGTTCAACAGATGTCTTTGTAAGGGTGAGGGAAAAACACTAGAGAGAATCTTCTGCAGGTTGCGCAACACAATGCGCGGCATTTTGAGCGTGCATGCAGTCAGCAAGGATGTGCTCAAAGATGGATGTTTATTCCTTCGTTTCTCATCTTGCTCACCAGAGTCCCTGAGATCGGAGGGCCAAAGTGTTCTGGCTCCGTTTCAGTCAAAAGTTGTCTGGTACCACATATCCTTGTGCTTTGGAGGTTTGCAGCAGTTGAGCCTGTACGGTGTGCGCATGCACCCTGAACCTGAGCATCCGGAGGGTGACGTTGCGGGGCTTGTCCCGAGGCAATCCCGGCAATCTCTGCGTGCCGGCCCCACGTGTTATGATCGCTATCAGATGCTGCTTGAACTACACAACTTCGATGTTGCTTGGATGGTGTCTGTGTATGAACTTGTCGAGGCCCGTGCCCCTATACCTCAAGTTGATCCTGGCCTTGTCTTGGTTCAAGTGCATCGCGACCTGCCTGCAGCATGCTTCTGGAGGGGCTCCCAATTGGAGCATGCTCCTAGAAGGGGCCAAGGCGGGGGTGGGGGAGGTGGTCCTCGTGGTCCAGGCCCAGGTTCAAGTGGCCCCAAAAAACCCAAGCAAGATCCCAGCCCCAGAGACCCACAGCTGCAGATAACACCTGCTCCTAAACGTCGACCCCAGCCTGGGCCCAAGCCTGCCGGCAAAGCTAAGTCTAAGCCGCCCCCGACAGTGGGTTCTATTTTCGATGAGAATGACGATTCCCCCAATGGGCCTGCTGAAACCCAGCCAGCAGAAGTGTTCTTTCAAGATGGGGTCGATGATGAGGGTGGCCCTCCTGCTTCTGTTCACTCTCCTGCAGGCTCTCTATCTCCAGCTGAAGACAGTCTCCCAAATACTCTGTTGCCAGAGCAAGACAAGTCCCTTCAGGTGGCTCTGCAGCAGTCAATGCTGGAGCAGGAGGAGCGTCAAGGCAACAGCGAAAGCGAGGGGTCAGATGACACAGCTGGGAAATTCGCTGAATTCTTTGCCAGCAGAGCACGTAGACGTGCAAATGCAGCTGGTGAGGACGAAGTTGCTGCTGAATCTGTGGGGTCTCAGGACTCAGATGAGCACTGGGGACAGGAGGATGCTGATGAGAGAATCGGAGCCTCGCTTCTTGCAGAAGATCCAAATCTTCAACCTGGCACGCTTGATCTTCCATTTGGACATTCAGTTGAAACTACAGCTGCAGCTACAGCTATGGCTATGGCAGCGAGGGCTTCGGGTGCCGAGCCGTCCGGCTCTGCTACAGTCAGAGATGCAGCGGCGGAGAGTTTCGCAGAAGCTTTGATGTCAGCCATGGCATTTGAAGACGAGTTTGAAGCGGAATTGCGGGGTGGAGGTGCAATCGGTGCAATGTCTGAGTCAGGGGACGAAAACAGAAACGTCCCCACACCACCCGCGCCCCTTTCTGTGCATCCGCCAGCTACCCCGCCCGTGCGGGACCCAAGCGATGAACTTGGCCGTGGCCATGACCGCCCTGCCTCTGACAGTGCTGTCCCATCTGCCCCAAGCCGCGCCCCGCCAGTGCGGGGCTCAAGTGCCAGGACTGCAGCGCTGCCGGCAGGGCCACGGCTTGTGCATGATGGTTTGGCCATCAGAAACGACGATGGCAGCATTCTCGCTTGGATCAAGCACAAACCGCAAAGTAATGATTTCTTTGTAAACTGTTCCTTGCACGAAAATTGCACCAAGACTAAGACGCTCAGAAGCTCTCATAGACATGGCAGGAGGTTGCAAGGACGTCCGCTCGGTTTCCTGGCTGCGTGGGCCGTGCAGGGACATGCATGTCTTTCCAAGGAAGCGCATTCCTTGGTTGTGCCTCCATTTCTCGACCGCAAGAATGCTCGTGCGAGGCTGCGTCAGGAAGCAAATGCGTCTGAGTTCTTTGTCAAGGAACGAGACCGTCGTTCAGACGAGCCCGACAGCGAGCCGGACCACTGCCCTTAGGCGTTTCTGCTTTCTGCATGCGAAACTTCAGTCCGTCTCAAACAGTCCAAACAGTTTTGGGCAAGCGTGGCTTGTGGATTCTGGCCTCGTGCTGTGCCATGCAATCTGGGCCTGGGCCGAGGAGGCCATTGCAATCTCACCTGGCAGCCCTTTGGCCCTGGGGCCACCGCATTGCAGATTCTGTGCTGTGGCCAATGATGGCTTTGCAAAGGCTTTGCTTCCTCGAAGCGGGCAGCCATGTGCGTCGTAGCTGCCCATGTCCCGTTTTGCAATAGCCCGCGATAGGCCGTAGCCGTAGGCCTAGGCCAGGCCCAGGTTTCCACACCGTCTCTCATGCCACCGCGTACTCTCCGATCGGTGCTGCAGCGACGCGAAAAGACTAGACTAGACCGAGGCCAGAAGCAGATCAGGCAAGTTCAAGTTTGACATGCTGCAGTGACTGCAGTGCTGCGAGGGTCTTTGACGCAGGTGCGGTCTGGGCTGTCTGCTGCACATGAGTGGATATCTCAATCACATCTGCTTCCAACCTTGCTGTCGTGAGTTGTCTCTTTATTCTTCTGATTCCGGCTCTCTTGTGACAATACCAACTGCCAAAAGATAAAGGCAATAGTACCATGCAATGTACTGTATTGTAATGTCGGTAATGTCGAGTCAGTCAGCGAAGAGGCGAAGAGTATGACGTATGACAATATTCAATATTCCAAGATTCGAAGATGGTACTGCGCTTGAGATATGACCGATATGACCGATACAGCGACATTCCGTGCTTTCCTGCAGCTCTTAGGACTTTAGGACTTTACAAGAATCCAGAGCTTTTGAGGATCATGTCTGGGGCAGAGCCCGTGCCGCCATTGCGTCGTTTGGGCGCCTTTCTTCTTGAAAGTTCGGAAGATGAAAGCGAATCACAGTCACAGTCAGAGCTGCAACCCAGCCGTCCCCAGCCGAAGCGGCCAAAGTTGAGTTTGTGGGCGCCAGAACCAAAGCTGCAGACCACCAGCTCCAAGTCCAGCCACCTCAAACAGAAGGAGCAGCGAGAGTCAGAGACAGAAGAGGAGGCGCGGAGTTCAATCGCGTGTCATGTCAGAGTCTTGTCCTGTCGAGTCAGTCATTTCACTCAAGTCTTGTCTCTGTCTGTATGACCTAATCTAAAGTCTAAAGTTAAAAGCCTACAGTCTTGTTTCCTCTTCATTCCCGGTCATACCTCCTGCAAACATGTGTATCTGTTTGTGCAGCTGCATGAAAATTGGAAGCCCGCACAAAACACACTGCAGGCTGACCGACCCCGTGGCGAGATGACCTTATGGACATGGAAACAAGAGAAGGCCACGCGCATCCAGAGTGTCAACAAGGTGAAGGCTACATCCGCATATCGAGCCTTCAACACATACCGCCCAAGGAGTTCCAGAGATCCTACTGAACCTATGACGCCCGAACCGACAGAGATCACCCCGCGACGCAGATGGCAAGCGCAGCTAGATGATTGGAAGGCACAGTTGGGCTTGGCCACTTCATGCATTGACTGAGATTTCGCTTCCACATTTTAGATTCTAGATTCTAGGCCTAGGCCAGGCTTTGGACTTTGCTACTGACATGGCTTCGGCGGCTGCATGCTCTGCTGCCATATAGTACCATATAGATTAGAGTCCTTGGACTCTCGACTCCAGAATCGACAAGCTGGCGAGCTGGCAAAAGGAGACCGTTTTTTTTCTGAATGCCTTAATGCTCGGTTCGGGCCGGGCCATCGTGCAGTGCGCAAATGAACGTTTTGATTTCTGACTGTTCCTCACAGGTTCCGCGCAAATCATGGTCAGATAGGACCATGATTACGACTACGACCAGGAATGCTCGTAACTCGCACCCTTAGCCTTAGCCTTTAACTGTTCACTAGTAACTGTAACTGTGATTCTGTGATTCTGAGACGCGGAGATGGGCACATGTCTGACATGTCCGATGTTCACTTGCTCGTATACGTCTACGTATACTAAGTATACTACAGTTACTACACTACACTCTATTCCTCTATTCCGTAGGACGTCTTAACAGCAGTTCATGCGGTGTGGCGATTCTGATAGATTCTATGGGCGACACATTCCGCGAGACTCGCGAGACTGCCAGTGCTGCCAGTGAGGCTTTTCCCGCTGCCCAGGAGCAAGATGTTAAGGCCAAACGATCGGCCGAGTCACATCAGAATGCCGCCAGTGCTTGGGAGATGTCGGAGATGCCGCCCTCCAAAGCTCTGAAGGCCAGCGAAAGCCTGGTAACAGCTGAGGTGCAGGCTGCTTCGCTTGCGGCCAATGCCAATGAGATTATGCCCAAGGACAACCGAGCGGCCCGAGCGGACCGAGCATTCACAGACAGTGAGAATGACAAAGTGTCAAGCAAAAGTTCGGCATCAATGGCTGCGGCTGAGACACCCATCGGCAGTCCTAGGGCCACTCCTTCCATTGGCATTGCCACTCCTGTGGATGTGGGCAGAAACACAGCAGCTACAGCTACCGCTACATGCACGACCGCTAGTCAGGATGGCCCTTCAGAAAGTTCCGCCCTTCTGGAGTCGGAAGAGTTGCGTGACCGTCGGTTGTTTTTGTGGCAAGTGAACAGCCCTGACCAGGGCAACACGAAGAAACAACATCATTGTAGGGCCGAGAGCTTATTTGAGGATTCCGATGACGACTGCAGCGACTCTGCTTTGGTGAAGTCGCCTTTAAAACCCCGTGATCTGAATGCTGCTTTCGATGCTGTGCCACCGCCAATGGAGATGGACTTGGAGCTGGGCCGGGAGGTTGGGTCTGAAGGTCGCACCGGCTTGAAGTTTCAACCAGAAAAGCTGTCGGATTGTGTCCATGATGTGCCAGTGGCTTCGTGGCAAAGACATATGTTGGAGTTCTTCGGGCCTCGCATGCAGCCTGTAACCTTTCACAGGCCTTTGCGCCTGGGCACTTCGTGTTCGGGCACAGGTGCACCTCGGATCGGCTTGCGAACCCTTGGGTTTCCAGTACTGGAGACTGCGAGTGCAGATCCAAAGCCAGCTACCATGAAGTTCATGCGGGACGTGGCTCAACTCTCCTGCCATCACTTCGCCTCTGTGGACAATTTGCAAAAGCGCTCGGGGTACTGTCATGTGCATGAGAAGATGTGCACGTTGGAGGCCATCCGTGATGACTTGTATGTAGCAGGCTTCCCTTGCTCTCCGTTCTCCAGACAGCGGGCTGATCGCTTCACTTCTGCTGCAGGGTGGCGTGCTCATCCACAAGCAGCAGTAATGTTCGGCGTGGCCGCCGACATTAGGACTCGGGAACCGCTTCTGGCGGTCCTTGAGAACGTGACTGGATTCGTCATGGCTTCGAAGGATGAAGCAGCCCAAGGGCCGTCCGTGCATCATCCAGATGTCAAGCGCGATTCCCCACTTGATGCACTGCTATCTGCTGTCAACGATGGCACAGATGTCCAGCATCCTCGTTATTTCGCATGCTGGCAGCATGTGGACGGAGATCTGTGGTCTGGATTCCCAAGACCTCGAGTGTACATCATGTTGGTGCACCGCGATCTTGGTGTATCTGTGCTGAAGGATGCAGCTTGCATCCTGCGCGATGCCTTGGAGCACTGCAAGGGCAAAGAGCCCCTGACTTTCGCCGAGACATTGCTGCCCAAGGACTCTACCGTTCTGGCAAACCAGATGGCAAAACATCAGGCGGGGATCTGTTTCTTGAGCGGCCATTTTTGCGTGGTTTTCAATCGTAATGGGCACAGGTGTCACATGACTCAGTTGCTCTGCAGTTTCCGATTCTTGTCAGGTTTGACTCCAGTGCTGTGCACCCATTCATCATCTTAGACTTTGGATTCCAGGTTGAGGGCATTTTGTCCTTTGGTTGAGAGTGCTAAGTCTTAAGTCTGCTAGGTACAGGTAGGTAGGTAGGTAGGTAGGTAGGTGGTAGTCACGTCATACCCATTCACACTCATACTCAGTCATACTCATAGTCATAGTCATAGTCATAGTCCCAGTCCTAGTCACTTAGGTCCTAGTCCTAATCATAGTGATGGATCTTGGAGTGTGCCTGCCTTATAGTGACCTTGCTTTACGGCTTAGACTCCTAGACTTTTCCTAAGGCTTAGAATCCTCGACCCAAAAGCACTGCAGGTCCAGACCCTGGACGCAAGCTGTGACAGGGAGACACAAAGAGTCTTCACGATTTGACTTGACTTCACTTCGGGTGTCAGACTTACTTACAGACGACTTTACAGCAGCCACCCAGCCACACGTCGAAAGGTCAATAGTCAGTGTGGCTTGAGCGTACTATATAGTATATAGTAACTATAGTACAAAGTTTGTTGCCAGCGGCTAGGCCCCGGGTTGGCTTGGATTAGAGGCTTAGCTCAAGTTCAGGCTCCGGCTCAGGCTGGGCTCAGGCGGCTAGTTAGGCTAGGCCCCGGCTGGGCTTAGCTCAAGTTCAGGCTCAGGCTCAGGCTGGGCTCAGGCGGCTAGCTAGGCCCCGGCTGGGCTTAGCTCAAGTTCAGGCTCAGGCTCAAGCGCAGGCTCAGGTAAGCTTACACTTAAATTTTGTAGCGGCTTTTGTGCGGCTTTTGGCTTTTCTTCGGTTGCAAGGATTTCTCATCATTTGTGGTTGGTTTTAATTTAATTTTTTTTTGAATTGTTGCCTTATTTATTTTCAATTATTTTTCTATTTTTTTTTAATTTGGATCCAAGACAAAACTTGCCTTAGATAGGTTTCTCTATCTAAGGACCAGATTGAAATTAAAAAAAATGAATGCAAAATGAAAAAAAATAGAAAAAAATAGAATAGATATAAAAATCAAAAAAAATAGAAAAAATAAAAAAAAATAGAAAAAAATGGAAATAAAATGAAAAAAAAATAGAAAAAATGAAACCAAAATAGAAAAACTACGACAACACCACTTACAAAATTGAATTAAAAAAGGCAGAAAAACAAGGCCAGGAGAACACTGTCAGTGACCATGTGACCAAAGAACTGCTTATTTTTGAGTCCCCATGACCCCAGAGAGCCCGGGGCCGTGTGAACAGTAACAGTTACTGGTTTACAGCTACAGTAGCTACAGATCTACAACTAAACTACAGCACCCACAGCAAAGCACTCACAGCTTTTGCTGTCACTGTGGCTGCTGCCGTGACATTCACAAAATGTAGGGTAGTCACGTAGTGAGTAGTGAGTATGAGTAGTGAAGTGTCAGTCTATAGTATATAGTAGTCTATAGAGTCTATCCGACATTCAAGTGATTCAAGAGTACTGACTAAGGATAATGACTTGACTCGTGACTAATGACTAATGGGTGGGTAGTGATTACTGGTTAACGATTACTAATTACCAATGCAAATCATTGTAGGTAGGTAGATTCCGCTGCACACTCTTAAGCTCCACGGACTGTAGGTAGCATCGCAATTGGGAGCAGTAGTCAGGAAAATTCGAGTTTAAAATCAATGCAAGGGCAAGGTAGACTCAGGTAGGTAGACAGGGACAGGGCGACCTCCCCTTCAGGCCTGCAGAAAGAAAGACAAAGAGATACAGAGTCTACAGTGAAAGAGAGAAAGAGAAAAAGAGAGAGAGAGAGAGAGACAGAGAGCAATGGGCGAAAGAAAGAGACAGAGAGCAATGGGGGGCCCTAGTGACCTAGTGGCCGAGGGTACAAGCACCTGAAACAGTGGGCATAAGTGCGGCATAAGGCATAAGGTACCATGAGTTAGGAACACTTTTAACACTCATGTCGAATGTGAACTTCAGATTGTAAATTGTGGACAGAATTGTAGACTTGACTTGATCGCGACTGAGTAAAGACTGTGATTATAGGCCAATTTATAAACAAAAAGTGAGAGTCAGAGCTGTTCCCGTGCCGCAAGACACCATGGCCATTGACTCTTGACTGTGACTAGAGTTAGAGACTGGTGACTAGTGACAAGTGGCTGGTGACTACTGACTCATGACCGACCGAAGTCTACCTAGGGACCTAGGACCTAGGACCCAGGAATAGAAACGCAACATAGAATCGAAGCAGAGCCTGGAATCTTAGGGGCCTACCGCTAGGCTGCTAGGCATGATGGCAGCAGTTCCCTCGACCGGTAGCTTCCACCCAGCCAGGCAAACAAAAGGCCAAAGACCGCGACCAGCAGTTCGGCTGGCACCAAGTGGCAGGCTCAAGAGAAGGCGCTGCGGTCGGAGCTTCCGCCAGACCTTCGGCACCAGTCGAAACCATGGACAGGGGCGGCCCGCTTGCAGGGCTTGGGCGGGCCTCAAGGATGCTTGCCGAGAACGAGGGCAATGATCGATCTGGCGTTTTTGTTCACAAAGCTTTCGAAGGGTGGCTCTGCTGCGGAAAACAGTGACATCATCCGGAACCTTGTGGTCGACGTGAGCCAGGCTCTGGAGCGGAAACCTTGGGGACTGAGAACGCTGTTGGCAAGCACATCACTGTATAGCTTTGAGCATGATCGCTTGGTCTTGCCGATGGAAGGGCTCCGTCTGCTCGGCTTCTCGACAAAGTGTTTGTACCCTTCCCTTTCTCAAGGGGAGATAGCTGACCTCGTTGGGAATGCCATGAGCCTGCCGAGTGTGACTATAGTGTGCGCCAGCCTTCTGTCAGCTGCACTGCCACGTCTGCCAGGCTTGCTGCATGATGACGAGTGAATCTAGTGACCTAGTGACCTAGTGAATCTTAGAATTCTAGTGAATCTCGTGACTAGATTCTAGATTCTAGTCATTCTAGTCTAGTCCGGTTTAGTTAGGGCCTGTGAGGGTGGTCTGTCAAAAACAAACAAGTTTCTGCTGATAAAATCAGGTGTGCACGGGCCTAAGCTTCTTCTTGGGATTCTTCTTGGATTCTTGGGGTCAAAGGGGGTTGGGCGAAGCGGGCGACACGTTTAGTAAAGCAGTTTCGCTCTCCGTTTTTCTCAGTCTCTCTGTCTCGCTGCGGCTTGCTTTGTGGGGCTTTTCGTTACTAATATTAGTAATACCCCGTCTGCTCCGGTTCTGGGGCCTGGGGTACCCAGACCCAGACCTAGACTAGACCTAGAGACCTAGAATCTAGAACTACCTAAATTACAGAACTACAGAATCTGTCGACCCTGATGAAATTTACTGCTAGTCAGTCTAGTCTACTCACACTTGCCAGGCAAATGCTGCTTTAGCTGTTAGCTTTAGTTGTAGCTGCTGCTACTACTGCTGCGACTCCTACAGCTTCTGAACATCACTAACTGCCGCTATGCCATATGCGCAAGTAAGTGTCACTCGTACTATATCACTTTGTGCTATGCTGCTATACCACTATTATACTTTATACTTTATACTTTATACTATATACTATACAGCTCCGTAGCTACTCCTGAATCTTTGCTGTAAACTCTAGACTACGCTGTAGACTGTAGACTACGCCGTAGACTGTACACTGGTACCTTTGCAGCCTTTGCCATTGCAGACCGTCCGCACATTGGCAGCGTGGCACGATCCAGGGCCCAGCGGCACAGTCGCACAATCACGAAGGTCTACTAGTTACTAGTTACTAGTACGTGCCTTGGTCCTCAGTTTAGTTTAGACATGCTTTGCCTAGACACTTTCCTTATGCCTTATGTTATACATACGTTTGTTGCAATGATGTTTTCTTCAATTCAAGCATATAGCAAAGGTGCGTGGAGAGACGTGGGGTTGGGAACTAACTAAAGTCTGTTATTAATACAGCAACCAAAGAGAAAAGTCTTCATCAAGAATCACGGATCATTGACCTTGCCTTGGCCTTGGCCTTGACGTACCCCTACATTATCCCAGGGTCCCCGGCCCTGAGCTAGAAATATGTAAACCTACGACTATGACCGTAAATCCTCGATTGCTACATTCTAGATTTTAGATTCTAGATCCCTACACTACATTGTCACCGGGGCACCAAGTCACTAGTCACTACTGAGTCGTCACTAGAGTCACTAGGACCGTCACTAGGATTCACTGGGACCTCTAGTTATCTAGTTACTGTAGTTGTTAGTTCTGGGACTGGGATGTGCGACCGCCGATTGGAAGAATTCTTTTGGATGTCGCAAGACACAACACCTGGCAGCCCTGGCCCTGGGGGCTTCACCAGAGCCCCCAGCTTCTGAACTAGTAACAAAAATCAGTATGGTGGTTGGTAACTGGATATGTCATCTCGTTCGCTGAGCTAACAGCTAGGTCCCGGTTACCTGGTTACAAAAAAAGCATTGGCATTGGGCAAAAAGGTACTGTATATCGGCAAATCTAACGCCTAATTGTCGTAGTCTTAGAGTCTCAGGACTTAGGTCACTTAGGTCTTAGGTGTCTTCATAAGACAAGAGTGACAAGAATGAATGTAAATCTAGAAGCTGGACATCTGAAACCCATTAGCAAAGAGATTGGTTTACGGTTCGGAGTAAGTTGTATGCATTTTCAAGAGTTCTGTGAGGCTTCAGTGACTTCAGTGTTCGGGCTTGGATCTTGAACTTGAACAAACCTAGATTCTAGTGACGTGTGCGACGGTGAAACCCATCCGTGTGGCCAGGTTCTATGTCTGTGTCTCAAGGAAAGAACACAACAAAAAAAATGACTCGATTTTCCCACCTGTTCTTGGCCCCAAGACAAGTGTCATTCCTGACAAGCGGCTAGCCCGGCTAGCGAGGAGGGGGTTGTCACTTCGATAGATTTCTATACAATCTTCTCAAGAAGCCCGTGCAATTGATAGATTCAGTTCCTTGTTCCGGAATTGCGCTTGTCCTTGGGGCGTGTGCGTTTTGGTATTGCTGCTTTAACGGGCGAGACTTTCATGCTTTTGCAAATATGTGATAGTCATAGATTCTGTAGGACTGTAGGACTGTAGGAGACGCATAGTTGGCATAGTTCATAGATCATAGTCATAGTCATAATGATCAATGTCATAGCCGCCATAGCCATAGGCAGGTTAGGTCTGGCAGTTGGCCCGTCGGCTTGTTGGGCACCTCGAATAAATGCAACAATCAATATCAATAGCGCAACATAGCAGCAATGAAGGTGTCAATCGTCTGTATGCTCTGTGCCAGCATCATCATAAGCCGCGCAGCAGTGATCAGTGGCCCAGTGGCAGCGCTTCTTGGCCTCGTCATCTTCATCTTTGGAATCGTCGTATTGTGGTATTGTGAGTATGATAGCCCTACTAACCTACTAAACTAGGTCCTAGGCCCCAGGCCCGAGGCGCGTGGGTAGAGTCAGGTAGAGGTTGTGCGTTTCCATTTCGTCTGACATGTGACAAGTGCTTGCGGGTGTTGCTGGGAAGCTGGTCTCTGTTTGTGCGCATTGATTAGCAACAGATTCGCAATTCGTCCTTGGTCACGGCCCCATGGCCCATGGCTCTCGTGACTCTCGTGGCAGCACGGCATAACGAGAAGCTGAATCATTTCAAGCTGCCCTTATGACTTATGACTTATGATAGGCCCTTATGTCACGTCGGGAGTAATGGTTATTGTTTCTCTGCGATTCCATGCGCAGCGGCCTGGCAGCTCAGCATTGAATCGAACTTGCATTCGACGTGCCATGTGCTTGGCCAGAGAGTTCAGAGTCCATAATCCAGAGTCCAAACTGTGTTGTCTGTGTCACATCTTGCAATGGGACAAAGAGCGGAGGCGCTTTTGAGACAGGAGCTCAGGAGCTGTCCAGAGTCGCGCAGGACATTGATTATTGAATTGTAGTGAGTGCTTGTAAATTGTAGACTCTAGATCTAGATTAGACGCTCCCGCTCGCCAATCAGCCGAGACTGAAAGATCCGAGCCACTCGTCACTAGTCGCCTGTGACGGGACATGGCGGACTTGTTCGATGATGACATGTCGGATGAGGGCATGCCCAGCGACTTGTCAGATTTCTTGGCAAGTGATCATGAGAAGGAAGATGAAGCCGAAAAGAAGGCCAAGAAGAAAAAGGACAAGAAGGGTGACAAGAAGGAGGTCCCTGTGAGAGATGCGAAGGACAACAAGAAGCCTCTGAGTGGCGGTGACAAGAAGCCGGGGGCACTTGCGTACGCACTGCAAGACCAGCATGGCAATGAAGTTGTCGGTCATTCGTTCTCGCAAGTGCAGCTCCTGAAGCTGCAGGGCCTCATCACGCATCACTGTGAAACATTGGTGTGCGATCTCTGCGGGGAACGAGCGGTGATTCTTTGCATTGCCAAGCTGACGTTGGTCGTGTGCGAGCAACAGAGTCAGCAGGGTGCCGGACAGGCGGCAAGTGCGACTGCTCAGGCCGGGTCGGCGGGTTGGAGTCCGGGAAATGAGATCCTGTATTCACTGTATTCTTTTCATGCTGTTCTCTGATTCTATGTCTATGTCATGTCTATGTTCTATGTCTGAGTCTATGTCCCATGTTCTATTCTATTTTATACTAAATGTTCTATTTCTGTTATTCCGAGTCTGGAGTCTAGAGTCTAGAGTAAAGAGAGTCTAGTGAGTCTAGTGACGTCTAGTCATAGTCACAGTCTTCGTGAACTTGTGTGAGTCTGTCGCAGGCCGAGGTTACGAGGTCACCTTGAGGGGCTCTAGACTCTAGTATTCCAGGCCGGGGCTTCTAGACTCTAGAATGTAGAGTGCGGGGTAAGCCCAATTCTAGGATTCTAGGACTCTCGGCCGAACGATGTCAGGCTATGACCATACGGCCGGCAGGGCCTCTTTGGGCAAGCTGGAAGATTTGCACGGTGGACGATCTGAGAGTGAAGTTGCCCCACAACGTCTTCTGCCAAGCCTGTTCGAGGACAGCTTTGAAAAGCTATCCCCAGTCGACCTTGACAGATCTTTCTTCGCGCAAGAAAAGGGAGCCGCAATTTGCAGACGAGTTCGGGAAGGCCAGGGCTTACCATCTGAACCCGGACATGATTCGCAGCTTCAGGGAGGAGGAGCTGGACAAAGTCAAGCGCACGGGCAGCAGAATCGAAACCTACTTCATCTTCTACTCCATGGCGGAGTTCGAGCAAACATTCGGTGTGAAACCAGCGGAGCACACGGAGCTCAGCCACCTAATCACAACTGAAGAGGATGAGTATGGGAATGAGATGACTGGGGTTCTCCTTCGCGATCCCGAGAGGCTTCATCGGCGTTTGGTCAGATACTCCGTGCACGAGTATTGTTACAAGGCTGGATAGGGTCGGATAGGGCCAGCGGCCAGCGTTTGTTGTTGACTCTTCTGTTATTGCGGCCCAAAGTACCTCAAGTTAGATTTTAGAGGACCTCAAGTTCCGAACGGAACTAAACTTCAACAAAATCTTTGAGCGACTCAAAGTATTCTAAGTTTATGATCTGAATCTGAAGCGGAAGCGGGAGCCTCCATGCCCATGGCCCATGTCCGTGATTCTGCTTCACGTGAGAAGCAATTTAGTCACGGCATATCCCTTAGTTGGTTACTTGCGTGTTGTTTTCATGTTGTCTCTGTTCTTTGTGATCTGATTGTGTTTGCCCCTGCGCGTGGTGGCCATGGCCTTGTGAGAAGTGATTTCGGACTTGGCTGATTCCGCCTGATTTTGGTGTTGCACGATTCTTGTTCCTTGCTGTGCCTGTTGACTTTCACCTTTCACCTCGCAGCATCGGTTGCCCGGTGAGGACGTTCAGCTGGCGGCTCGAAACACTCTTCGACCGCAGCAAGGCCTCGAAGGGTACTCTAGCTTTCAGAAAGC